TTATTTTTGTTTCTTTTATCTTTTTATTTTACTCGAGGACGAGTAAAACTTAAGTTTGGGAGAATTTGATAAACTAAATTTATATACATATTAATAGGGAATTTTTACTTTAATATTATTGATATTTGGATGAGTTTTATGAGATTTTGTTTGATTTTACATGATTTTCATCCTTTGTGTAGAAAAGGATTTAATTAAAAGAAATCCTACTTTTTAAAAGTAAATTGAAGAGATCAGAGACTTGAGGATCAATTTGTGCAGAATCCATAAGTCAGGAACCAAATTTGCTATTTTATCATTGAAGAAATTGCAAAAGGAGACTAGAAACCCGACACGGGTGTAGTATCAACACATGATCGGGGTGTCAACACCATGTGCTAAGCGTCTAGAATCAGATTCTGTTTCTTATTTTGTGTCAACACGTAATCGGAAGTGTCAGCACCACGCGATTAGCATCTAAAATTCAGTTTCTTATTTCTATTCCAAGTCCTACTTCTATGTCAATTAGGGTTTCTAAAATCCTATAAATACCCATCCAAATTCAGAATGAGGAGAGTTTTGGGAGGCTGGTGGTAGCCCTCTTTTGAGCACTCTTGAAGGTCAAGATAGAAAATCCATCAACGAGAAGATCAACGATTTCAATTACCTCAAATTAGGTTCTGTTTTTCCTTAGACATTCTTATGCTCATAATTGTGATTTCAGATTTTATTATTTTTATTATGAACTGATTTATTTTACTAGGGCTACGATGTACCCTAATCAATTTAATATGAATTTTGTGATTTTATTCTTTCAATTAAAGTTATTCACGTGAGGAGTTTATATTATTGAACCTAATGCATTGGAAGCCTGATCATCTTTCAATTGATTTAGTGGTTTATGCATGAACTTAAGAAAGAATTGCGTAGATTAGACCAATAATAATATAAATCGTGTGCTAGACTATAAGACCAAGAGGTAATTAGCTCACATGTGGTAGTGGAGGAAGAGAAGAGAGTTAGTAGCTCTCCCTTCTTAAGCTAGAGGTTTCCATAGAATTTAATGCTCATAAGTTTGTTTAAAATTACATAGAGATATGATTAATTTAACAAACAAGTGAATGATTAGCTTGACTTGAGAAAGCTGGTTAATTAATTTAGGGAAATCCGCCATCACATGCAATAACATTCAACAATTTAGTAATCCAAAATTTATATTGATTGTTTATGGTGAAGTCAATGCCTTAGTACCTCATATCTTGATTAGTTTTATTTTAATTGTTAGTTTTTTTTGTTATTTTAATTAAAATTCCATCTTTTCGATAGTTCAAATAAATTTAGATTAATTATTTTGGTACTTAGTTAGACACAATCCTCGTGGGTTCGACACTCTATTCATCATTATATTACTTGGAGTAACTAGTACACTTGTTAGGGTGATTTTAGTGCATCAGAGAATCTGGTCATAACACTAAGGGAAAAAATTCATATTATGGAAGGAAAAGGCAAGTTGATTATGGTATTTTGGCTAACCAATTTATGAGGGATATCATGTTGAATGTAAGTGCATATTTGTTACATGCTTTTGTGTTCAATGTTTTCTAGGATTTAAATTAATTGTTTGGTTTATGATGTTATTTGGTTTAATTGTATGCTTGGAACAGCCTAGAACTCTTTCTAAAATACTTGTATCAAGTGGGAGCCAAAGAGAGAAAAGAGGACCACAACAGAGGTTTAGGGAGATTAGACCAAGGGTTGAAGTTGGAGAAAGTTCTAGGTAGGGAAGCCAAAGAAAAGCCAAAAGAAATAATGCCTCTAAGAAACAAAATTAAACTTTTGGTTGGCTTAAATGTGTTTTAATAGGTTTTTTGTTTATGTGAAGCTAAGTTATGACAAGAAACTAGACTTCATTTTATGTGTGCCTAAACTTTATTTTAGGCACTTTTGCATTGTCTTTTGTCTAGTTTGAAGTTTGTCTTGTGTAGACAAAGCAAACTTGGTTTTATGTAGTTTCAATATTTAATTGGAAATGAAAGTGTTATTTGTGCATTTTAGTTGAGTTTTCTTATATAAAATATGCTAAAGGTTGAAGTTCAAAGTATGCCCGGCCTGGAGTTTTCTAACATGTCTTTTTTTTTTTCTCTCCTTTTTTTTTTTTTTTTGTTTGAAGTTGTAGTTTTAGTATATTGAAGGTTTCTTTCCCCTTGTTGTCCTTTGTCATTCTGGCAGAGTTTCCCTTGCTTTTGTCTATTTCCAACATCCCAATAAAATGTTTTGTATCAAGATGACAATAGACAAAATTTTCATTACTATCACTGAATGGATTACAATCAAATGGCTATTTCCATAATGGCTAATATACAAACACAAAATCACCATTTACTTGAAACAATCATGACCATTACCTATAACATCACAAAAGAAGCCATTTACACATACAATCATGACCATTATCCTAATAACATTGTCATTTCCTTGTAAGATTTTCAAACATATCACTTATACCAAATCAAACAAACAATTAGCAGTAGACAACACTAGATTGTAGAGGAAAAATCAACAACAATCAGAGGAAAAGAAGAAAAGTAAGTGCACTTTGTTCTTGAGATCAATCCTCAAACTGAACCCTGGTTTCTTCACAACCGATTTCTCGAATATCAATTTAAAAATGGTTGCCAGGTTTTCCCTATTAGACATGTCCAATACTACATCAACATTGCTCTCCACCTCTGCCTCCTTTCCTAGAACCATGTTTCTCTTCCACTTCACGACCGGTGACCTCATTCCTGAGCCACGCAAATCTCACATTTACTCTTTATTTCATTCCCTCTTCACTCTTCTCTTTTCCAACCTCACTCTCTGTCACGCCCCAAAACCCAAATTCGAGGCGCGACAGACGCCGTACACTCGTGAGACGGGTCCCACAAGTGCACAAGGCTCGGAACTTATCAAATTCACACTCTGATACCATCAAAATCCGAAGATCAAATCTTTAAAATCTCTCTGATATCATAAATCTCCAAATACACTCTAGCTTACAAGACCACGATTTCTAGAATCTATATCAATCTTAAAATGGCTAGCTTTCTAACTCATCACTTCCCATGGTTTCCTCGTCCTCGGTTTCACTTCCTGAAATGGTGGACAAGGAAAAACTATGAGATAAACTTAGTAAGTAAAATATGGAGTGCCCTTATTAAACTTATAGCATGCCAACAAGTACAATCACGAAAAACGGATACAGTGCGGGAACGAAAATAGACGTCTCCTCTATAGGTCATGGCCAGTGTTTAAACCTCCCACTGGCAAGCAACAGGAATTGCTAGTGTTTAACTCCCACTAGTAGGATTACAGGAATGAACCAGTTCTATCAGGAACATGTCGACATGTGCTAGCATTTGACTTCCCACTAGCGGGCAACAGGATAACATGACCGTATCAGAGACAAAACAGGCAGAAGTTAACAGAAAATTCATAATTCACTAATCACTTCCAAATCATCGGGACAATCAATTAAATTTCAAGTAGGCATGCTCAATTTCATGAAAAACACAAAACATTTCACTTCAAATCAGTCATATTTGTGTAAAACGGGTTTAGTCCCGCCATCACTTCAAAAACAAATCAAAACATGCTTTTAAAACAGTACGGGCATTACCATAAATTTACTTACCTCACTCCGCAAAACCGAGCACTCAATTCACGTACTAAACTGACAGGACGATCAAGAACCTAATCAAGATATTTCAAGAATTAATACCACTATCACAAATTCAAGGTAAACTCATCATTAGGATCATTCCTAATCACAATGCTATTTCATCTCCACATTATCAGATATCTCTAAATTCGTTCTTATATCACAAACTAATCACTTAAATCCCCGTTAATTGTTGGCCCTCGGGGTGTGAACAGTGCCGGTGAACAGTGCCGGTGAACAGTAACTATACTTCCACAAATTGGCCAAAACACTAGCTAATCTCACGGGATTTTCTCCAAAAATCACAACAACCGTCTAACACTCAATCACATAAATCTCACTTGAATTAAGCAACAAAACACACTTAAATCCCTCTTAATTGCTACCGGAATTTCCCCATTTCCTAGCCAAATTCGGACATCACAAGCAGCAACTTTAAATGGATAATTTAAGCCTTAAAAGGCTGTCACATACCATAAATCCAACAAGCAAAACCGGAGTGCAGATTGGGGAAGGCCGGCGGAATCTGCAGGGGGAAGCTCTCGGGTTACCCAAAATTGGAGGAGAAAGAGCAATCAAAGTTAACCCAAGCCAATTCAAGCAAGAACAAAGGAATTAGGGGCTGTTTCTTACCCAAAACCGGAGCAAATCACACCCCACAAGCAAGAGCAGTCGGCGGATAGGGGAGGAAGGACAGAGCAGATCCGGAAGCTTCCTACAGGGGGGAGATTTCTGGGTTCCAAATCAGGTTCTAGAACAAGAAAAGAAGGGAAAATCAAGCTTTCTCACCAATTTTCTAAGGCATGGCTGGGTTTCCCTTTTTTTTTTTTCTCTCGGGTGGCTGCAGCGGGAAGACAAGAAGAAGAAGAGCAGAATCGGGCAAGGCTGGGAAGAAAAGAAAGAAAGAAAAAGAAAAAGAAAAGAAGTCATCCTTATCCAAAATCTTTCCCTCTTTAAGTCCCTCAACATTTGAAATATTCACATTAAGCCCCAAAACAATCTTTTCTCACAATCAAGTCCTTAACTTACACTTATATATTCCCGAAAATTTGGGATATTACACTCTCGCCATCCACGAATTTGCCAGCATATGAA